GCACAGGCGGGCATGGGCACGTGGCCATGGCCATGGGCACCAGCAACAGCAACGCAGTCAAGCGGGCGGGCGACATCGTACACAGCACCATCTCAAGTTCAGAGGGTCCACTTATATTGTGAACAATTTTGTCAAGATAGTATCAAGTTGTCTCCATGTCAGTTGTTTCCTTGTTAACTAACCTCTTGCTTTCTCTGATACGAGAATCTATATGACGGCCAGACTTCCACGCACCCAACTATAGCAGCCTTTTGAACTAGTGTGGACTTATATAGCTGTTATCTTGGTGCCATTGTGATTGTGGTATCTATCTACACAGCAGGGTTGTACGCACTGTAAGAATAAATTTCGTGATTATACGAAATTTTCTCAGTTAATTTTCTAGTACGAAAACTTCGTTTTTAACCAATGACGATACATCGTTATGTTACGAATTGCTTCGTAAAATCCAAAGCTCTAACTAATCGGTACCTCAGAGCGAAAACCACTCAGTCTGCCGGAGCGCTACGACAACCGCTTAGTCTGCCGAGCGGTTTGGACAACCGCTCATTCCGTGAAGGCGCTTCGACAACCGCTCAGTCAGCGGACCCACCTCAACAACCGCTCAATTGACTTTTTTGACATTTTTCATGTTTTGACCGATTTCGACGAATTGGACCATGCTCTTTTCGATGGTGCAATCCAAATTTTTTCGTCAGAGAAGTCATTTGAGCGGTTGTTGAGGCGGGTCGACTGACTGAGCCGTTGTCGGAGCGGCTCCGCGGAATGAGCGGTTGTCCAAACCGCTTCGCAGACTAAGCGGTTGTCGTAGCGCTTCGGTAGACTGAGCGGTTTTCGCTCTGAGGTATCGTAATGGGTATGAAATTTGCATACATTTTGTAAAATTTTATGACATATGACCCCAAATTTTTATGCATTCGTTACGAAATATGTTTGTAACTTGACGAAATGTTTCGTAAACTGGCCCTAACGAAATATTTTCGTAAATTATGTTTTACGAAACATTTCGTAACACTTATTATCGTAAAATCACGAAACCTTTTTACAGTGGGTTAAAAATGAAATTTAACGCGTTACGTTTCGTTAATTTGAGATTTGAGTTAACGTAAACGCGTTACGTTTTGCCAGTTGTGACAAAATTAACGCGTTACGTTTCGTTAAACGTCGTAACGTCGTTACCCCACCCACACACGGGTCCAGGGCGCCGGGCCGCGGCCGGGCAGGCGC